AGAGAGAGAGAGAGAGAGAGAGAGAGAGAGAGAGAGAGAGAGAGAGAGAGAGATGAGCGATACAAGTTTGGTTGTCACATACCTGTGAAGCGAGCTGTGCAGTCCACATGGAGGAAGAAGAAGCGGCCATAGCCGCGGAGCATCATCACGGAGTAACGAAGGAGGGAGAGAGACGGACAGAGGAGGAGAGGCCGCCAAGGGAGAGAAAGCGGCCATAGCCGAGAGGTGAAGAGAAGGCCGATCAAAAAAAAAAAAAAAAAAAAAAGAGAAAGAGAAGAAGCAGACAGCAGGGGTGAAAGAAGGTGAAGAGAAGAAGAAGGTTGGTAAGGGAGAGAGAAGCCGACAGCCATAGCTGACCGGAGGGTTGACCAAGAGGGTTGACCGGCGTTGACCAAGGCGTTGACCAAGACTTTGACCAAGCTGGAGTTGGTAACATCTCGCCAARCCCTCAGCCTATCCCTTGCCCTATGGATGTGCACACACCCCTTGGTACTTGCTGAGTCAAGTCAGTCTGTCTATTCTTTCTGCATTGAGTCTCTTCTGTCCTAGGTGATAGTACTCTGTGGATGAAGGATACGGCCTGGATGATGAAACCCCTACCTGACGTAGTAGAGTTGATACCGTGTCTAATCTCACTGTCCCGGAGGCCTAACCCTCCCAAGGACCGGTGCTGACCGGCGGGGCTCGGATTGGGCGTGACACGGTGGGCTTGAACGACGGAGTTGTGGGCTGACACAACAAGCAGTCCTAAGTGTTGAGGGCCTTGTTGACCCAAACCCCTACTGGACCTAGTAAAGCTAAAGGCCGTGTCTGACGACTCGACTGTCCCGGAGGTCAAACCCTCCCAAGGACCGGTACTGACCGGCGGGCTGSTCGSTGTGCCACGGTAGGCCCGAAAAGCTGAGTTGTGGGCTGATGCAACAGGCCAGACCAAGCTGATCACGTCGTCCTGTCTGCGACGTTAAAGAATTCTTGAGGAGTTACGGGGGATCTCCTTAAATGCCTCCTGATCAGCAACAGGTCTACTAGTGACAACCATAGTTAGGTCCAGGCTAGAGACCATAGTTGGCAGGATCCTTGTCAAGATTCTGTGAGTCCTTAGATTGAGTCAGTAGGTTTGTCAGTCAGGGGTTAGRGTCTACGTGGTGAGGAGTGRAATCGTTCTGATTGTGCACCTATCACCATGGTTGARACCCGAAAAGGGACGGTTACYASCCCCTATACCGCTGAACRGCAAGAGAAAATGGTCGCCTTAGTCAGRGAGAACAKGGAGAGGAAAGAGCGGGAGAAGCAGGTGAAGCTGAAGGCTATCGCAGATGAGCAGGCGGCGAAGATGAGGGAATTAGAGGAGGAGATGGAGAAAAAGAAGAAGGTTGCTGAAGAAGAAGCGGCAGYAGAAGAAGAAAAAGAGAGAATRAGGATWGAGAGTAGAGAGGGAAGTAGTGGMACGAAGAGGGACACAGACGCAGAGAYGGAGAAGAAGATAAGYGAGTGGGTTGCTAATTTATCGTTGGGGGAAGACGAAGAGGCAGAGTCCAACGTGACTGAGGATGAGAGAGCTGCGCTGGTCAGTGAGCTAGCAGCAATGACAAATCCTATGGATCGGCGCGAGAGGGAGGAGGAGCAGAAGTTGGCATGGAAGTTAAGAATGAAGAGGGAGAAGAAGAGGAGGAGAGAGGAAGTAAGCAAACTGACCGTAGAGGTGGCGAAGGTACAGGAGTGTACGAGAGAAGTGGAGGCCCAGGCAGATGACAAGGCCAAGTGGGATAACATATTGGGGTACCTAGAGGTGCTAAGCAAAGTCTGGATGGAGGAGCGCCAGGCAAGTTGGAGCCAAGACGTTGCTTTGAATGCCATGCGGTCGGGGTTCAGCGACTTTGCGTGCGAAATCGTCACCCATATCGGGGGCGAAGTCAATGTAGGGAAGTTTTGTGAGGGCACCATAGAGGGTGCCAAAGCGATATCCGCTGCAGAGGGCGAGGGCAGACCCCGTAAAGAGCATGTCAAGCTCAAGTTCCTAGACGCATATGGGGGTGAGAAGGAGGAAAACTTTGACAACTGGGAAGCCAGTGTCAATAGTTATATATATTTACAACACATTCTGATGGAGGAGCAAGTCCTCGTGGCCTTCCAAGCCCTCAAGGATGAGGTAGTTAGTTTCGCCAGGTCCCTTGCGCGCGCACTCACTTCTCCACATGGCCTTGAAGTAGGGGCAGTTGCAACCCCTACTGGCGGCTGCCTTTTGACTGTTGGGCATCCCAACGGGCCTATCTATACTTAGGACAATATTTGATAACGTGGGCCGGGTCACCATAGAATACGCACCGACCCTGGTCCACCCGTTCCTGCCATAAACGCTGGTCCAAGCCCAAGTCTTCCTAGGGCCTGCCCTGTGGCAAGCCTGGGTGCCAACCTCCTTGAGGTGCCCTTCCACCTCTACGCTGTAGGGACTGATTACCTTGACGATTTGACGGGCGACCTTGACCCCTACCTCCCACTTGGCGGTTTCCCTGTTCGCCAACCCCCTGTGCGCTCGGTCCTCGGACTCCCATGGCCTGGCCCCTTTGGCCCTGGCGTCCTCCTCTACCTTGTGGCCTCCCTCCAGCCGCGACAGCAGCATAAGACCTCCCTTGTATTACACTATTGTCCTCCTCCTCGAGGCCCCACTCGATCTGACTATACGGGACCTCATCTGTACCACCTTCCTCTAATGTCAGGATCATGTGATCCTTGGCCTTGACTTGGCCAGAGATGGTACGTCCTTTCCACCTTTTTCCCTTTTCCAGGTCCTTATGCCAGAAGGTGGTAACTGGCATGGACTTTGACTCGAACAGGACCACCTCCCTACTCAACGCATCATAGGTGATGCCAGCCTGTTCGGTCTTATCAAAGAAGTGCCCTCTCAGGGGCTCTGGCATGCCACGATAGAATAACTGGACCAACTGGGTCTCAGTGACCCCATGGTCCTGGACGGCTACCAAGTCGTCCATGGTTCCCTTGAGTGCCCTTGCACTCCTCCACTGTCGTGAGTGGATCGTTTGTAGCTTGTTAGAGTCACGAATGCCTCTCGTTGGGTCGGCAAATCGCTCCTTCAAGAGCTTGGGGAATTGAGAAAGGGGGGTGACTTTTGAATATGCAACTAGGTTGTTTTCACAACCGGCTGTGCGCGCAAGGGACCTGGCGAAACTAGCTGCCTCATCCTTGAGGGCCTGGAAGGCCACGAGGACTTGCTCCTCCATCAGAATGTGCTGTAAATATATATAACTATTGACACTGGCTTCCCAGTTGTCAAAGTTTCCTCCTTCTTTCCCCCGTACGCGTCTAGGAACTTGAGCTTTACAGGCTCTTTACGGGGTCTGCCCTCGCCCTCTACATCGGCTATCGCTTTGGCACCCTCAATGGTGCCCTCACAGAACTTCCCTACATTGTCCCTCAATTGCCTGACTTCGCCCCCGATATGGGTGACGATTTCGTGCGCAAAGTCTCTGAACCCCGACCGCATGGCACTCAAAGCAACGTCTTGGCTCCAACTTGCCTGACGCTCCTCCATCCAGGCTTTGCTTAGCACCTCTACGTACCCCAATACCTTATCCCACTTGGCCTTGTAATCTGCCTGGGCCTCCACTTCTCTCGTACACTCCTGTACCTTCGCCACCTCTACGGTCAGTTTGCTTACTTCCTCTCTCCTCCTCTTCTTCTCCCTCTTCATTCTTAACTTCCACGCCAACTTCTACTCCTCCTCCCTCTCGCGCCATTCCATAGGATCTGTCATTGCTGCTAGCTCACTGACCAGCGCAGCTCTCTCATCCTCAGTCACGTTGGACTCCGCCTCTTCGCCTTCCCCCAACGATAAATTAGCAACCCACTCGCTTATCTTCTTCTCCGTCTCTGCGTCTGTGTCCCTCTTCGTTCCACTACTTCCCTCTCTACTCTCTATCCTCATTCTCTCTTTTTCTTCTTCTACTGCCGCTTCTTCTTCAGCAACCTTCTTCTTTTTCTCCATCTCCTCCTCTAATTCCCTCATCTTCGTTGCCTGCTCATCTGGGATAGCCTTTAGCTTCACCTGCTTCTCCCGCTCTTTCCTCTCCCTGTTCTCCCTGACTAAGGCGACCATTTTCTCTTGCCGTTCAGCGGTATAGGGGCTGGTAACCGTCCCTTTTCGGGTCTCAACCATGGTGATAGGTGCACAATCAGAACGATTTCACTCCTCACCACGTAGACCCTAACCCCTGACTGACAAACCTACTGACTCAATCTAAGGACTCACAGAATCTTGACAAGGATCCTGCCAACTATGGTCTCTAGCCTGGACCTAACTATGGTTGTCACTAGTAGACCTGTTGCTGATCAGGAGGCATTTAAGGAGATCCCCCGTAGCTCCTCAAGAATTCTTTAACGTCGCAGACAGGACGACGTGATCAGCTTGGTCTGGCCTGTTGCATCAGCCCACAACTCAACCTTTCGGGCCTACCGTGGCACAGCGACCAGCCCGCCGGTCAGTACCGGTCCTTGGGAGGGTTTGACCTCCGGGACAGTCGAGTCGTCAGACACGGCCTTTAGCCTTACTAGGTCCAGTAGGGGTTTGGGTCAACAAGGCCCTCAACACTTAGGACTGCTTGTTGTGTCAGCCCACAACTCCGTCGTTCAAGCCCACCGTGTCACGCCCAATCCGAGCCCCGCCGGTCAGCACCGGTCCTTGGGAGGGTTAGGCCTCCGGGACAGTGAGATTAGACACGGTATCAACTCTACTACGTCAGGTAGGGGTTTCATCATCCAGGCCGTATCCTTCATCCACAGAGTACTATCACCTAGGACAGAAGAGACTCAATGCAGAAAGAATAGACAGACTGACTTGACTCAGCAAGTACCAAGGGGTGTGTGCACATCCATAGGGCAAGGGATAGGCTGAGGG